TGTGGTGGTTCAGGCACTACATCTCCGACGTGCTTGGTATAGGTGTAGCTCAAATTAGATTTATGATTCTTTGTTCTACTTTTCACATAAACTTTCAGAACACCTACCGAGTCTCGCGTACTCATTAACGTTATCAATCACAACACACACACACACTCACACACCTACACCAGCACATCTTTTTTACGCGAATACTCTTTTCGTTATGTCCACTCCCAACAGCAACATCAACAACAACAACAACGACATGAATGTCGACTTCGAGGGTGGTATTCCATCCAACAACATTCCCGGTCTCATGCCTGAATGGGCACCTCTCAACGAGGGAGAACAACAACAACAAATCGAGTTGCTCCAACAGCAACTTGAACAGCAATTGTTGCTCCAACAACAACAACAGCAACACGTTTTGCAGCAGCAGCAGCAACTTGAAGCATTGCAGCAGCAGCAGCAACAACAACAGCAAGCCTTGCAACAACAACAACAGCAGGCCTTGCAACAACAGCAACAACAGCAAGCTTTGCAGCAGCAACAGCAACAAGCTTTGCAGCAGCAACAACCACAAGCTTTGCAGCAGCAGCAAGCACAACAACAGGGTCCACAAACAATCCCTACCCAAAAGGAAACGGAGGCCCTGGCTCAGAAAATGAAAACACGGGCCGATGTGCTTTATGCTGAGGCTTTCCAGCTCATGGCACAAGACGCTGACCAAGTGTTGGTGGATGCAGCCATGACCCAGTACGAAAAGTACTTGGGCACCATGCGTAAGCAGGTGGCTCTTTTGAGGGTGAAATTCCCCAATAGTGATGTCCTTAACGAGATTTTGGACCAGGGCTCTGACAAACAAACGTCACGAGATGATGTGTCATCCCAACCATCCCGATTGACGAGATCATCAGTGGATGTGCAACCTCGCGGTATTAAAGACAGCGACCTGCCGATGTTCAACATTGGTAACCAGCCTAATGGCGCTAAACGGGGCAAAAATAATAAGCTCTATGACTCTGCCAAAGAATGGCTCACAAACTTTGAGATTTGTGTTCGTCACGAGGACATTGAAAGCAAGTGGGGAGATTGGTTGTCATATAGCATGGATGATTCTCAAATTCAGCAGCTGAGAGGGGAGCTGGATCAAATTGAGGTACCAGCAGGCCGTAATCGGCATACTTGGGAACAGGTTCGCGAGACGATCCTTAATACCTTTGACACACCAGTACAAAAGCGTCAAAGAAGACGTGCCCTTTTGAAGTGTAAGCAGCAGATGGGCGAGTCCCTCAAATCCTTTGTTCGTCGCTTTAGAACAGTGTTGCATGGCTCTGAAGAGCAGCCTGAGGATAATCCTTTGCTCGTGGATATCTTCTTAATGAACATGCACATAGCTGACAGAACGACTGCTGAAGCTTACTTGTCCATGAAAGGAGAATGGCCCAACAATGTGGTCAAGACCTTTAATGACATTGAAGGCCTCAACGTGCTTGAAAAAGAGTTTGGTGGTAATAACAACAAGCGCAAATTGCTCGAGCAGCAAACAAGCCGCGTTGTACGTGCTAAGGCTTCTTTGGACAACGAGGAAGAAGAACCCACACCATGCTGGCATTGTGCAAAACACGGCGTCACGGTGGACTTCGACACCAATCACAAATGTCCCTACTACAAGAAGAAGAAGCCATCCCACTTCAACAACAAGCCTGCCTCTCACAAAGGCAATAACAATCAATACTCTGGCTCATCATCTCGCCACAACAACAATGGCCACAATGGTCAACGTTATCAACGTTCGGCCAAACGTATCGTCAACAAGGCTAATAAGGCAGCCAAGCGTGGCAATAAGGCAACTAAAGCCCATCACCAACGCAACGCCTACAGCCAAGCGGTAATGGATCAGGATGCCGTTATCGATGCCGAACGTAAGGCTTTGCAACAATCCTCTGGTCGTGTGGCACGTAATGCTTTTTACTCGCACGATCATGATGAAGAATTGACGCCGGCTTCCGAAAGCCAATTGTATGGTGATAACGATGAAGATGGCATGCCCTCAGAAGATGAACACATGGACGAAGCCTCTCAATGTAAGCATGCCAGAATGGCAAACAAACACAATCCTCACATCAGTGACGAAATACTCATACCCATCACTCTCCAGAATCAACAAGTGCTCGCATTACTTGATAGTGGTGCAACATTTTCTTCTATTGACGTGAACTTTTGTGATCGCATGAACTGGGGAATAAACAAAGCAGAGGGCGAGATCCATCTAGCTGATAATAATCATGTTGTAAAACGTATGGGTATCACTGATAGGCTAAAAGTACGATACAATAAGCGTGAAAGAATGCACGAGTTTGAAGTGATGCACTTAGCTAGAGGTCATGCCGTAAGCATTGGCACCGATCTCATGCCTCATTTCGGTATTGGATACACTGGTCTTGTAAGCACATGGGACGACGTTGAGCATGAGCAAGAAAAGGAAGAAGAAAAACCTTTGCCTACTCCAAACGCGTCACCCGCTGGCACTAAAACAGAACATGCTGCATTCCTTGAAACACTGCAACCCCTACTTGCAGCCAATAAGGCCATTCCACCTAATGCATTTTGCACGCTCCCACAGGCTGTCGTACATCTCGACACACCTCAAAATCAAACCGTCTATAGACCCCAATATGCCATAGCTCACGCACATCGCCCACTGGTTCACGAAACCATCACCAAATGGTTAGCGGATGGCATTATCAAGGAGTCTCCTCCGGACGTTCGGGGCAAGTGGAACAATCCACTCACATTAGCTCCAAAGAAAGATGAAAAAGGCAATAAGACCAAGTTTCGTTTATGCTTGGATCCAAGGGCATTGAATCAACTTTTACCCGATGATTGGTTTTACATTCCTCATATTGACGAGATCTTTGAGAAGATTGGCCAGGCCAATGTATTCACAACGTTGGATTTAACACAAGCCTTTCATCGTTTGCCCATTTATAAACCAGATCAGGTCAAAACATCGTTCACAAACATTGTGGATGGGCGCTCATACTGTTTCGTTTCCATGCCATTCGGCATCAAAAGCACCAGCAGTAAATTTCAGCGGTGCATGAACGTGCTTCTCAACGGCTTACCCTTTGCGGCAGCCTATGTAGATGATGTTGTAATCTTCTCCAAAAACTTGGACGAGCACACCCATCATGTGGCTGATATTATACAACGTCTTACCACTGTCAATTTAGCACTTAATGTGGACAAATGTTCATTCGGTATGCGATCAGTACATTTACTCGGATTTTGCATTTCCGAAGGAGGTCGCAAATCACTCGATCCTCGTAAAGTGGCTAACACCCAACAATGGCCCAGACCACAAACAGGCAAAGACATCGAGCGATTCCTCGGAGTCGTTAATTACTTTCGTACACACATTCCCAAAGCGGCTTTGCTAACAAGCCCACTCGATGCCTTACGCAAAACACCTGATTTGCAAAAAGTGTGGAAGACATGTCATGAACACGCTTTTCAAAACATTAAGAAGGCGTTAAGACATGCTCCAGTGCTGTATCAACCAGACTTTCGTAGACCATTCCTTGTAGCCACTGACGCCTCTAATTCAGGTATCGGAGCTGTACTTTATCAGCTTGATGATAATGGCAACAAACGCCATATCTCCTTTATGGCTCGTTCATTGAAACCAGCCGAGAAAAACTATGGCATTACCAAAAAGGAACTACTTGCAGTCATCTTCGCATTGAACCGCTTCCACATTTACTTATGGGGCAACAAGTTTCGCCTTTACACGGACCACAAAGCATTGGTATACTTGCATACACAAAAAGAACTCAACCCAATGCTTGTCAAATGGCTCGATCGTATCTTGGATTACAACTTTGAAATCATCCACCTACGTGGCATTGATAATATTCTACCCGATCACCTATCTCGCCTTTTTCCCGATGATCAACGGCTGGGGGAGGGTAATAACAAGGATCGGCTAAAGCATAATGCAAAAAACAAAGATGATGCCACTCCAACGATCGCAGCTCGTGCCGCACAGATACAAAATGACACAATCGAACCAGCAGCAGAAGATCGCCTACAATTAATTCATGAATCACACCTTCTCGGACACTTTGGAGCCGAAGCAATCGTTAAAGATCTGCATAAACAAGGTTTTCATTGGGCAAATATGAAAAAAGATGCTATACGTGTCACTAAATCCTGCCCTCCATGCCAAAGATTCACTATTGTACGCCATGGATATAATCCTCTTCGTCCTATCGACTCAACTATACCTGGCGATCATTGGTCAATTGATCTTGCAGGACCATTACAAGAAACACCAAGAGGAAACAAATACCTTTTGATCATGGTCGATGTCTGCACACGATTCTGCTTGCTGAAACCAATTCCGGATAACACTGCTACTACCATTGTCAAACAACTTGTTGACGCCTTCACCACTTTTGGTATACCTCGTATAGTACAAAGTGACAATGGACCGGAATTCTCAAACGAACTCATGGATCTCTTCGCGCAAACAGCCGGATTCGATCACCGGTTAATAACACCATATCATCCACAAGCGAACGGTAGTGCCGAAAGATGGGTACAAACAGCCGTATCAGGCTTGAAGAAGCTAATGGAAGGCGCCATTGAGGACTGGGACCTATACGTACCAGCAACACAGTTATCACTCAACGTGAAAGTGTCCGAGAGACATAACACGCGCCCATTCGCTTTAATGTTTGCACGCAACCTGAATGCGTTTACCGATTACAGACAAGACGGTATAAAACGTTCCATGAGTGCTGAAGAAATGTCAAAAGTCGCGAAGCTGATGGAGGAAGTTGTCTTTCCGGCAATAAACGAGCGCACACGAAAGGTGAACAACGCCAGAAAAGAAAAATTCGACAAGTCAAATAAGATTGTGGAGTTTCAACCAGGCGATCCCGTGATGATTCGCATACACCCAAGCAAAAAGCAGGGCAAGCTCGATGCTAATTACGAAGGCCCATATATCGTTGAACGTAAAACGAAGGGTGGATCATACCGATTAAAGGACCTGGATGATGCAATTGAGAAAAGGGATTACACACCCCACGAACTCAAGCTGGCAGCAATTCCCTTAGAAGAATTACAAGAGAAACGTTACGTAGTCGATCGCATTATTGATCACAAGACCGACAAAAGACACAAACATCTTTACCGTGTAAGATGGAAAGGTTACCCACCAAATGAGGACACTTGGGAACCAGCAACTCACTTTGACGATGTTGGCACAATCGTTAAATATTGGCGTCACTTGAAAAAGAATCCTCCAAGTAACTTACAAAAACGTAAACATGACAACATGGCACAGAGACCACCGAGCAAGCGTGTGGCGACTCGCAAGTCATAACAACAAAAACATTTATCATACTCCAGGCAGTATGCGCAGCTGCATTAATCGGCTATAGGAGCCTGGGGGGAGGGTGATGTGGTGGTTCAGGCACTACATCTCCGACGTGCTTGGTATAGGTGTAGCTCAAATTAGATTTATGATTCTTTGTTCTACTTTTCACATAAACTTTCAGAACACCTACCGAGTCTCGCGTACTCATTAACGTTATCAATCACAACACACACACACACTCACACACCTACACCAGCACAGGCACTCTTAATGTCCAGGAAAACAAGGATGGGGTTACGGTTGTGG